ACTCTTAAAATCCAAAAGCAGAGAGCCATCAATTTTACAATTACAGTTTCAGTTTTCTTTCCAAATTGTTGATTGATTACACACTTTCTATCTGCATGTGCGAGCAACCAATAAAGGGCTGAGTTCTAGGAAAGTTTTGACTTTGGATTTGGCTGTGGATGGATGTGTGGATGTGGTGTTTATGTGTAGCTGGTGTATAATGAATTCATTGAACTCACTGGATTTTCTTGGCTATTGTTTGGTGGAAATGATCTAATATTTGTGAAGACTTGGTTAAAAGAAATACCAAAAAGTAAATTTGCTGAAAGTTTTGATCTACCTTTGGAAAGATACTCCTGATACTCTTTCCTTCCTGTACTCTAGTGCTGGACAGACACCAGCTAAGAATATTGATAGCTTAAGGCAAAATATGCCCTTGTGTTCATTTTCAAAATAATGCTTATTCATACAAACATATATGATCCCATTTTTCAATGTTTTCCTAGCCTTGTTTCATTTAAATGAAGAACAAACAGCCCTTTTCCACCCTGGAAGGAATGTTGAGATTCTACATGAGAAATCCAGATAATCTGTAGTTAAAGGGTTTTATAAACTGTGCAGTGCTATATGAATGATATTGTGTGAAAGTATTTGAAATTCTTAGCAGAGAATTATAAACGTGACCAGGAAGATCTTTTTAGATAATTACCAGATAATTTCAGACAAATTCTTTCATAGAAAACCAACATCTCACAAAATTGCATTCCCAAAGAAGATTTCAACAGAGCGTACCCCACCCCAAGCAAAGGAACAAAAGCAAATTTTGAAGATTGTGTCTTCTCTCTAGGCATTATCCCAATTGTCCCACTTAACTGAATGTAAACTTCTGCTCAAAATGTAATCACTGGCCCCATTTACTGCTACTGTTTGTTGTTGTTGTTAGCTGCCTGCAAGTTGGCCCCTGACTCATGGTAACCCCATGTACAGTGGGATTGGGCCATTGTGATCCATAGCGTTTTCACTGACTGATTTTTCAGAAGTAGATCACCAGGCCTTTCTTCCTATTCTGTCTTAGTCTGGAAACTCTGCTGAAACGTGTTCAGCATCATAGCAACACCCAAGCTTCCACTTGACAACTTGGTGGTTGTGCTTGAGGTACATAGGCTAGAAATCGAACCCGGGTCTCCTGCATGGAAGGCAGCAAGAATTCTACCACTGAATCTCTAATGCCCACCTGCTGGAAATTAGGTAGAGTTGTACTTCTGATAATATTCTGAAGGTGCTTGCGTAAAATGCTGTTTATGTCTTCTCCAAAAGTTGGTGTTTAATTAGGTTTTGTTTGGAATCTTCCTATTGTCTTGCTCAGACAGGGTTAGAAATCATTTGTTAAAAAAAAGTCGGGATTTTTTTTTCTAATTAAAACAGAGGAGGGTAAGAAATGAAAGCTTTTCTGTTCTTACTGTGTTGCCAGATGATACTCTGTTTTTTTTTTTGTTTTTGTTTTTGTTTTTTCACTCTCACATCAGGCCTTAGAAAAATTATAGGATATCTGAATGTGGTGACCAGCAAGCCATATGCTGCTGCATATTGAATCAGAATTCCAACAGACTTTTTATCTGCCATTGATTTAGAGAATCTGCAGAGAGTTACAGATACCATTTAGGAAAATGTTCACATCTCCATGGTTGGAGGTCTCAAAGACTGATAAATATATAGTGTTTATGTTCAGTTACATGATGGTATTAACATTGTAACTCCAAGATTAAATCCAACAGGTGGTCCTAAATCCCCGGCACCTGAATTTCATAAATTACAGCCTGTCTGCAATGATATGGCTGCAGAGGGAATTATTGTTGAGATTAAATCACTACGTACTTTTGTTAAAAGATATTCTGCAAGTCAAGGCAGTAATCATTGATGAGCAGTATGTGTTGAAGCTTAAAATACCACTTTCCATGGGCATATTCCCCACTTCCTCTTACAGAATATCAAATGAAATTATAATGCCAGTCTGACTAAATGAATGGCATTTGTAGTTCCTTTTCTGCTAGATTCTTTTCTCCATTCCCAATCCTCGTCTCTCCAGACCTTTTCCCCCAAATGTTGCACCAGCTCCTTTCCATCTTGTAATCTGTGTCAACAGCTACTTTATCTGTATCCTGCCCTTACTCTTTTGCTCTCCTTTTTTGGGAGCCCCTGATTTCTAACCAGATCAGCCAGACACAGCAAAGTCAAATTTCATGACTTGGGAAACTTTTGCATTTGAAGCTGCAACATATAAAATATAACCAGTCTTTAAAAAAAAAAAAAAAAAGCTACACACACTAAATCAAACAAAACAATCTCAGAGGAAGGCTCCAAGTCTTACAGCAGAGTGGAAGGGGACATGGAACACTGTTCTGTCTCCACTCTGAATCTGGTCTGGGCAGATAAAGTCATTTGCCATCTGGTGGACCCAGTGAAATGAAACTGTGAGCTGATTCCTTTTTCCAGTGGACAGGAGCCCTTATCACAGAAGGCCCATTGTCACCTGGGCTGCCCTTTTCTGAGATGGCTTATGAAAAGCAGTGATCATTGGGGTCCAAAGCTGAGCAGGTATCTCCTCACTTCAGAAGTAGCCCCCTGGGATGGATTTTATACATACCAATAACATACTAGTCCTTGGTTCTTTCCTCTAGTAATCCAGACAAAACAAAACTGCTTAGTAGTAGTATTTCTGTTGCTATTAATTGGTAGATATTCAGTTGGAGTGTAAGACAAGTCAATGTGGGAACTGAATAATAATTCAAAACCGAAAAAAGGCACATGTCATATAACTTATTTTGAAACTGGGATAAATATTCTTACTTTAGAGAAGCATGTGAATTCTCAAATGAAAGTTTGCACCATTTATTAGACCCTACTTTATGACATTTGAGTCATCCAATGATTTAAATAACAGATCATTTGAATCTCCAAGAAATTCAAAGTGAGCTAATTTTAAGTGATGAGGTATTACAAAATTAAAACCTGCTAATGATGATGAAATTTGTTATCACAAAATGTAAAGCAATAGGACTCATGAAAGGAATTATTTTTCATGGGTCAGGGGTCTTGGAAAATGTGGTTGCTTTTAACAGGAAAAGTGTTTTATAACATTTATTAAAATACTTCACCTTCCTCAATTCTTTGAGAGCCAGGAGCATTTCTTCAGCTCCACAAGGATAATCCTAGGATAACTCCATGTCACAGCTCAGACCATACTTGGTGGGTGAGTCTGACCTGGCTCCCTCTCAAGTTCTAGGCATGCTGATCCTTAGACATTTGTTCCACCTCAGGGCCTTTGCACTTGCCATTCCCTCTCCCTGGAAAGCTCCTCCCCAAGATCTTTGCATGGTTGGTTTCATTTTGTCATTCAGTCCTCAGATCACATGTTAGCTTCTTATGGACCATACTCTTAAAGTAGCCCCCTCCTCAATAGTCAGTCTCTATCATATCACCCTAGTTTGTTTTCTTTATAACATTAACCAATATCTGAAATAATCTTA